ACAAGATTTTAACCTATCATTAACTCACTAAAAATTAAATTAAAAAAATGAGCAGAGCCATTTTCACCACTCTTACTTAACATAGTATTGGAAGTCTTAGCCAGAGCAATAAGGCAAGAAAAAGAAATAAAAGGGATCCAAATTGGAAAGGAAGAAGTGAAATTGTCACTATTTTCAGATGACATAATTTTATATATAGAAAACACTAAAGAATCCACTGAAAACTTAGAAATAATAAATAAATACAGTCAAGTTTCAGGGTACAAAATTAACACACAAAAATCAGTTGTGCTTCTATACACTAACAAGGAAGTAGCAGAAAGAGAAATTAGGAATACAATCTCATTTACAACTGCAACAAAAAGAATAAAATATCTAGGAATAAACTTAACCAAAGAGGTGAGAGGTCTGTACACTGAAAACTATAAAATATTTTTGAAAGAAATTGAAGAAGATGCCAAGAAATAGAAATATATTGATTCTCTTGGATTGGAAGAATTAACATAGTTAAAATGTCCACACTTCCTAAAGCAATCTACAGATTCAATGCAATCCTTATCAAAGTTCCAACAACATTTTTCACAGAAATAGAACAAAGAATCATAAAATTTATATGGGACAAAAAAAAAACCAAATAGCCAAAGCAATCCTGAGAAAAAAGAACAAAGCTGGAGGTATCACACTCCCTGATTTCAAAATATACTAAAAAGCTATAGTAACCAAAACATCATGGTACTGGCACAAAAACAGACACACAGATCAATGGAACAGAATTGAGAGCCCAGAAATAAACCCACAGGGACAGCTAATTTTCAACAAGAGAGACAAGAACATACAACAGAGAAATGAAAGTCTCCAAGTCTTCAATAAACGGTGTTGGGAAAACTGGGCAGCAACATGCAAAAGAATGAAAGTAGACCACTATCCACTATCTTACACCATACACAAAAATTAACTCAAAATGGATTAAAGACTTGAATGCAAGACCTGGAACTTTTATAAGAAATCATAGGCAGTACTCTCTTCAACGTCTGTCTTAGTAACATATTTCAAGTACCACGTCTGACAGGGCAAGGGAAACAATAGAAAAAAATAAACAAATGGGATTACATCAAACTAAAAAGCTTCTGTACAGCAAAGGAAACTATCAACAAAATGAAAAGACAACCTAACAGTTGGGAGATGTTTGTAAACCATATATCAGATAAGGGGTTGATATCCAAGATATACAAAGAACTCATACATCTCAACAACAAAAAAAAAACTAACAACCCAATTAAAAAGTAGGCAAAAGATTGAAACAGAGATTTCTCCAAAGAAGATACACAGATGGCCAAGGTGAATGTGAAAACTGCACATGAAAAGATGTTCAATATCACTAATTATTAGGGAAATGCAAATTGAAACTACGAGATATCACCTCACATCCATCAGAATGGCTATAATTAACAAGACAAGAAGTAACATGTATTGGAGAGGGTGTGGAGAAAAGGGAACACTCACGCACAGCTGGTGGGAGTGCAAACTGGTGCAGCCACTATGGAAAAAAGTGTGGAGACTTCTCAAAAAATTAAAAATAGAAATACCATGTGATCCAGCGATCCACTACTGAGGGTTTATCCAAAGAACATGAAATAAATAGTTCAAAAAGTTTTATGCAATCCTATGTTCATCGCACAATATTTACAACAGCCAAGATGTGGAAGCAACCTAAGTTCCCATCAAAGGATGAATGGATAAAGAAGATGTGATATATATACACAACGGAATGCTACCCAGCCATAAAAAAAAAGACAAAATCGTGCCATTTGTGACAATATGAAGGGACGCTGAGGATATTATGCTAAGCGAAATAAGTCAGAGAAAGACAAATACCATATGATTTCACTCGTATGTAGAAGATAAACAAACAAACACCTAATAAGGAGAACAGATTAGTGGTTACCAGAGGGGAAGGGGGTGGAGAGATGGTGAGAGGAGTAAAGGGGCACATAGGTATGGTGATGGATAAACACTAGGCTATTGGTGGTGAACATGATGCAGTCTACACAGAAACCGAAATATAATAATGCACACTTGAAAATTAACACAATGTTCTAAGACAACATGACCTCAATAAAACAATTTTTTTAAAAAGTCCAGATTACACTTTAAATATACACATTTCCTATTTGTCAATTATACCCTAATAAGACTGAGGGTAAAAGAAACAAAATTTCCAGTTTACCATCTTTTGAACTTAAACTGTTATGAACCCTAAAAATTATTGGTGGGAAACACATTGGATATTCCTTCTGCAAAGAGTTTAATAATGTTAATATTTATATATTAGGTTGAGAAGGGAATATTGCTCATTAAAATTGAATAATAGCTATGACTTACAAAATCCAGCAAGAGATGCTAAAATCTTTACATGATTGTAAGTTTAGGGGAACTAACTATGATACTTAGACATAGGGCATGCTCAGTGATGTGACTCAATTCAGATCCTCAACACCATCCTTAGGGTGAGAAGAAGCTGGTCACCTTCCTGTGTGACAGGCACCTTGTGGACTGTACAAACTGTGGTGTGGGGACCCTGCCCAGCACATCCTGTGAACTTGTCAGCTTTGCTCAGCTCCTGCCTCTTGTCTGACAGAAGCGGCACCATGTCCCCCAAATTCCTCAGTCTCCTGGGTCTTGGTGAGTCCTATAAGGGAAGGGAGGAGAAGCTCATGGTGGAAATCTGGACTTCTCCATGGAATATGACCAGGTTCCATGGATGGTGGTGCATGGGAGCCAGGGATCCACAGGGGATGAATCATCTCTGATGTGGTTTCCTTCCAGGATTCTGTCTGAGCCAGAAGATCCTGACATACATGGGTGAGTCCTCCCTGTTCTGTCATTACTGTGTGGACCAAACACAATGTGTTTTACCCAGAGCTGTGGGGGAAGCAGAGGAATTGGAACTAATGAGGATGACACTGGGGACCTGTGGTGAGACTTCTGGAAATACAAGGAGTGCAACATACCCTGTGGATTCTAGGTTCTTATTTTATCCTGAAGACTCTTCCTAGACACTCTTCCCAGGCTCAGTCCAATTCTCTATCTTGTGAAGGAGGCTGTGAAATTCTGAAGCTGTGACCTAGGGCAGATGGCATCATCTCTATAATGAGAGGGGAAAGGAAATGCTGGACCCTGCAGAACCTTTCTAAGACCAGGTGGCTCATGCTTCCTCCAACCTGCCCTTGACAACAGGATCTACAGGGCCTCCCATTAAACCTACCTCAGGGTAAGGGACTGATCAGCAGGCAGGGCCACCTGGACACCACGATGCACTCTGATGTAGAAGTTAACAAGAGATCAAGGTTCTTATTTCACCTCATTTTTCAAGTAGAACTCATTCCACTCCCCCATGTATAATTTTGTTGTTATAGAAAATTGTGTTTTAAGGGAACCTTAGTCAACATTTTATCAACACTCTAATAAAAAATCTTGTTCTGGGATCACCTGTCATGTTCATGTGGGGTAGGCTGTTTTCCTGGCCCTCCACCAGGTCTCCCTGGGCATCAGGAATTCCAGTTTGGAGGGGAAGCCTTGGAAGAATGTAATGGAGGAAAAGCCCCCTGAGGGCAGTGAGGGGAGGGGGAGGCTCCCCATTTTCCTCTCTAAGGCTGTGCCTCCTTCTCTCCCAGGTGGACAGGACAAGCCCTCCCTGTCAGCCTGGCCGAGCCCTGTGGTTCCCCTAGGAGGGAATGTGACTCTTCAGTGTCATTTCCATCTTCCATTTGTCATATTCAAAATATTCAAAATAGGAGTGACTCATGTCACTGAGCTCCAGGGAGGTTTTTTCAAGAACAACTTCACCATGAGCCCTGTGACCACAGCACATGCTGGGTCCTACTGATGTTCTGGATTTTACAACCACAGACCTGTGTGGTCACACAGCGACCCCCTAAGGATCATAGTCACAGGTAGGAGAAGTGCAGCCCAGCTCAGTGTGCAGAAGGTCCAACTCAGTTATGAGTTGTAGCCCAAGAGTTATCACAGGATCCCTAGTCATGACCTCACCACGGAAGGAGAACCTGCTCTGACAATGCAAAGACTGGGTGTTTAACATAGGGAATGGGGTGCCCAGGTGAAGAAGGAGGAGCCAATAAGCATGAAAGCCAACCTAGGGATTAGCAAGAACTGAGTGCTTCTACCGCCTGCCAGTAGGGCAGACCCAGGGAGGAGTGATGTCACCTGATCCCAGCATCAGCATCCCACTAGGGAAGTTGTAGCCCTGTCTTGCGGGAGCAGGAGCCTCAGGTAAGACACAGTCCCCTCAGAAGAGGTCTCCAAAGGCACAGGTTGGGCACAGACTGGGAAATATCCCCTTCCATCTCCTCCTCCTTCTCCAATCTGCAAACAGCCATCCCCTTTGTTCTAGGAGTTGTAAGGACTCTGAAAGGGACCTGGTAATGCATCCTGTAGGGTCACCCCCACCCCACCACAAGATAGATCAGGGGGGAAATAGAGTGAGAGTGGATCTAAATGTCACAGAGCTTAGAACCAATGCAGAGGAGGTTAGGGGTCCTTTGCCAAAAGAGATAGAAGAGCACATGGAGGTGAGACAGTGAGATCCAGGCTATAAGAGTCATGAGCCAGAGGATGGAGAATGAGGCTCAGAGCAAATGCAGTAAGAAAGGCATAGGAAGGAACTGAGACAGGTTTGGGCTTGAGGGAAGTAGAAATGACTCTGAAAATATCAGGAGAAGTGGGAAGAGGGTGCACCTGGAAACTCACACGCTCGCTCTTCCCAGGCGTGTTTACAAAGCCCTCCATCTCGGCCCACCCAGGCTCCCTTGTGCGTGCAGGAGGGACTGTGACCCTGCACTGTCACTCAGAACTAGTGTATGACACTTTTATCCTTCTCAAGGAGGGGGACACAAAGCATTCTCAGCAATTTGTAGAGGAGCTTCCTGACAGGCACACCCAAGCTCATTTCTCCATGGGCCCTATGACATCTGCCCATACAGGGACCTACAAATGCTACGGCTCTGTCAGTCACTCCCCCAATGAGTGGTCAGTGCCCAGTGATCCTCTGGACATGGCAATTACAAGTGAGTATGCCTGGCACAGCCCGTGTTCTCTTTGTGCCCTGAAGTCTTAGAGGGTGACGTGGGATTGAGTACAATGTACTCAAGGGGAGAAAGACAGACATATAGAGGTACTGACAAACTCAGGAGAGAGAGAAAGAACATAGAAGAGTAAAGAGAAGAATACAGTACTTCCTATAAGCTAAGGAAAAAACATAGTCTGTGACAAACGAAAGAGAAAGAATATGAAAGTAGAATGCAGAGGGACTCCCCAGCACAGAGATGAAGGGTGTCTCCAGCTCAAGCACGAAGGGACAGTTCAGAGCTGGTTCCTACTTTAACTCCACAGCCCCTCCCTCTGCCATGAGAACGACACACCAGATAGCCCTGCAGCCAGACGGGTGAAAGATCTGAGCAGATATAAGTACACTGATCAGCAATGTGGTTTAACACGTCCTTTTGCACAAAGACAGAGAAGAGATCACTTCCAACCATCACCACTCAGTGGTCCCTTCCAACACCTTGGGACACAGGGACACACTGGCCAGTATCAGCCTGTGAGGTTCTTGCAGTTCCTATGGAGATTTGGGCACATTCTGCTGCAAGGAATTTGGAAATAGTGAGACCCACACTCTCTTAGTTCCTGCCAAGCATCATGTTTTCTGAGCATTTCCAACATGACTACTTATGTCCATGTTGCAGGAGGACCCCACATCTCCTACAGCTTTAAGGACAAGTGCACCATGAAGGCACAGGCAGGATGTAAGAGGATCGAGGCAGTGCAGAGGCCAGAAGGACACACACACACTGACTCACTGGGTCAGAGGCACAAAGACAAAATAGAGAAGCAGAGAGCCATGGGAAGAGAGGCAGGGGTGATTCACTACGATGAAAAAAGATCTTCCATTCATGCCCAAAGATAATTGAGTAAGGTGTATGCTCTAAAGTTAAGGTCACTTTTTCTACCAGGTCTGTACAAGAAACCTTTTCTCTGACTCCCCCTCCCACTCGCAGATGCTGTTACTGTGGTACAGACTACAGCCTAAAGCCATATCTGAAAGTAATAGAATATGATGATGGGGGAGGCCAGGGATTCTGGAGAGAGAGACAAAGACTGAGAAGTGGTGTCATAAAAAGTGTACGCTGGGGCCAGCCCTGTGGCTGAGTGGTTAAGTTCCCGCGCTGCACTTCAGCAGCCCAGGGTTTCGGCTGTTCAGATCCTGGGCGCAGACATGGCACCACTCATCAGGCTATGCTGAGGCAGCATCCCACATGCCACAACTAGAAGGATGCACAACTGAAAATATACAACTGTGTACCAGGGTGTTTTGGGGAGAAGAAGGGAAAGTAAAATCTTCAAAAAAAAAAAAAAAGTGAACACATTGGGGCCAGCCCAGTGGAGTAGTGGTTAAGATGGTGCACTCTGCTTCAGCAGCCCAGGGTTTGCAGGTTAGGATCCCAGGCACTGACCTAGCATCACTCATCAAGCCACACTATGGCGCCATTCCACATAAAATAGAGGAAGATTGGCAACAGATGTTAGCTTAGGGCCAATCCTCCTCACACACACAAAAAAAAATGAATGCATGTAACACTCTAGGATGCCCTAGCTTCTCTCATGGATGGAGGCAGAGAGGATCCCTACAAAATCCTTCTCCATATCTTGTTTGAGGTCCTCCTTGGGGTCTTATGTATTCAGGCAGATTGAAAAGGGAGTCAGGACAGAACAAGGAAAAGGAGAGGCTAGACCTTGCTTGGGGAAATCAGAAGTTACATCAGATTCTCACCATTATCCATTTCCTGGAATCTGCTCATGACCTCACCTGGGTTATTTCCAGGAGGCGAAAAGACAGAGATAGTGTTTCTTGAATATGGAACTCTTTGCTCACCAGACATCTCCTAGTCCCTTCTATGCTTCTCATTTCAGGGAGGGAGTTGTCCCCCAAGGGATGATGGGAAAGGGGTCCCAGGATCCCCATCAGTCCTTAGGAGGATGGCAGTGAGGGGTAGGCAGAGAATCAACCTTACAGAGGAATGGTCCTACTTCCTTGGGCAAGGAAGGACACTGGCTCAACCTTCTCTGTCCTATTGCCTAGGATCTCCTGAAAGTAATTTCCCATTACCCGCAGGAAAAAGCACCACAAAAGGTGAGCAAGGAGGCCTCAATTTAATCCATTATCCCTGGGGAGAGAGAGGCCTTCTGTGTGAGTGTATGTTCTGCCACCTCTCAGCTCTGACCTTGGGCTAGTCACCCTCCCTCTCTGACCCCCATATTCTCCATCAGTGCTTGAGACTGTGGTCAGCATGGGAATCAGAGGGGACATTTAGCCTCTCATGTTCTGGGACTGAGACCCCTTCCAAAAATGAGGTATGGATCAGAGTGAACCTGACCCCCTGCCCAGGAGTGATGCTTATCCTCCTTCAATCATGGTCTGTGGGGATGGTGATGACAGGGGATGAGAAGGATGGAAAGATGCACTGTAACTATTTATTGTCCACCAGTAAAGTTCTACAAGTTAAATATACAACAGCTAAGAAGGCAGAGACCCCTCTCCTCATGATGATCATTTTTCAGTGTTGGGTGAAGGAATGGGAGACGGTAAAATAAATACCTAACACATAATTAAAATTTTCTTCATAAAACTACAGAAGCATTACTTGATAGAGAATTAAAATAGGCTCACATTATAGAGAAAACTTAAGTAGATAAATTAGAGTGGAGGAGTTCCTAAAATGTAAGGAGCTATGTTAATGACAGAGTTGGTCTTAACAAGATTGGTTGAGAGAGAGTATCAACAACTATATCCATGAGCACCGTGAATCCAACCCAACCAGTGTGGCTGACGTGTGGTGGGGGAGGTGGAGTTGAGAGAGGTGGACAGGATCCAAATTTGTGAATGCTCATAAGCAATGGAAAGAGCTTGGATTTTATTCTGACTAAGATGCAAATCCACTCACAATTTTTTATCATAAATGTGTCATGATCTGGATTCTACTTTAGAAATGACACATTGGCATAATTGAAAAGAATTGATTTAGGGGGAATGAGAGGAAGCCACGGACATGGTGAAAGGCTATGACAGTTCTTCTGGGGAAAACTCATGGAGGTTTAGACATAAAGGAGGTAGAGAAAGAACTGAGAAGGTAGATTCAGGATACACTCAGAGGTAGACTCATTAGGAGGGAAATTTAAGGACCTACTTGTAGTAATTTCCAGCTGTGTGATCTTGAACATACTCATTTCCCTCTGAGCCTCTGTTTCACCAAGTGGAAAGTCATACTTGGGGCATTATAGGTATCTTCCATCCCTATGTCTCCCTTACTCCCTCGCTACAACTTTAGTCCTGGGTAGGCTGCTATCTTTCAGAGAATTGTCATAAAGGAGATTACAGTACAGTCTGTCTGTGTACATGTCACTGGCTTAAGAGCCCTGAGTTGCTGAAGTGATGACCAGGTGTCCTATCCAGGTGACAGTCAACAAAGTGACTGTTTTCCTGACTCCCAGGAAATAGGGGGATCCCACATCATCACCTGACCATATGCTCATAGCTCCTGAGTAACTTGGGACGCTATCCTCAGGTGATACAGGTGAGCTGAGAGCAAGGAACAATGTGAGAGCTCACAACATGATTCCTGAGTTTGAGGAATGATGTACAATCTCTCAGCCTGCTGTGTGGCAACGCAGCCACACTCACGAGAAAATAAATTTCAGTGACATCACCTCTTCAAGGCAGACTCAAATTCTGATTATTTGGAACAAGGAAAATAAGCAAGAGGTTTCATGGAGCAAAGCTCAGGAAGAAGAGCTGGGCCGTGACTACTACTGGATCCCATCTCCTCACCCTTTCTGTGTTTCTAGTTCCAGGCACTCCTGGGAGCACCATCTCTGCAGTTAGCAAGCCAGACTCCAAGACTAGTAAGACAGCAACACCCCCAGGTCATGGGGAGTGGGAACACTTGGTTTAGGAACTCATAAGGAGGAGCAGGAAACAATACAGCACCTCAGGTTTCCATGGGTGGGATTTTACTTCTCTTCCTATGTGAGACTCCTTCTTTCCATCATTAGTGAGACGGTCCAAATTTCGTTCATTTGAAAGTCACAAGATAGGGAAAATTCCGGAGCTTTTGGGCTATCCAAACACCTTAACAACTCTGGAGGATGGATTTGCTTTCAGCTCATTTTTGGGGGGTAACAGAGAAAGGAGTCCTAAACAGTAACAAGGGAAATGGACTAAGTTTGAGTATCATGGTCCCAATGTATCTCCACGACCCTATAGAGGGACGTGGACTATTGCAGTCCATGTAATGAATGAAAAAGAAGGGTGCCGTGAGCAGGAAATACAAGTGAAAAGTCACATCTCAGACATTCTGAATTTTTCCTCCTCACCTACTTCTAAGGCAACAACAAGTGGGCTCAATCTCCAGGGTGTCAGAAAGGAGCATACACTTGGCTGTGTGGGTGAACTAGGTGTATGGGGAAGGATGAGGGTCCCTGAACATTTTGGCATTTGTAGATATATCAAAGGATGCTTCTTAGCAAAGTATCAGGAAGATTCAAAGATAATTTTCTATGATAACCCAGGAGTAAAGGACAAAGTCCCTCAACAGTGGATCTGCTTAAGGTGTGCATGATGATCTAAGGACAATGAAAGGGGATCTGGACAGAAAGAATTTGGGCAAGAAGGGAAGGGAGATGGGCTCTATTTCAGAGCTCCTGGGGAGGGATGGGCCTGGCTCGCGTGTAAGGATCTCTGATTCTCCCCAGCCCCTATTCTCCAGGATTATACTGTGGGAAATTCCATCAGGATGGCTGTGGAAGGGCTGGTCTTCCTGGCCCTGTTGGCAACACTGGCCAAGGCCTGGTGAAGTCATGAGGAGCCACAGTTGGAAAGTAAGAACTTGATAGAACCTGGCTGAGTGAATGGAGGGATCTGACAGAATGGACCTTGTGGAAACGGATCAGTGACAAGCTGGTTTCCATTGATGGATGACACATGACATTATTTTCAGTTCCCTATTGAACCTTGGACTTTTTATCTCCTCCCTTCTTCTAATTATGTGCTACATTTCTCCAAATGTGTATGACTTCTCCTTTTTCTTCCTTCCCTCCTCCTCCTCCTCTACCTCTTCCTCTTATTCTATCTCCTTCTTCTTCTTCCCCTGGCCTTTCTCCTCACATTTTCCATATAGGGCTCTTTGTGGTCTACTTTCTACTTACATGGATCCAAGTGTTCAAAATCATACAAATTTAAATTTTTGCTTCCTGCAACATCAAATCTTTTGAAACCTAGGTCTTTGACGTAAAAGTTCCACAACTGCAATAAATAATTTTGAAACACGCAGATATTAAAATATCACTAATTTTATCAATGAATTGGTGGATAGATTGTTGAATTCTTATATATTTATCATCATAACTTCCTCTTAGGCCATTATTAAAATAGTCACTTTTCTCTTATTTTTAGGCTGCAGCCACCTTTTTATTTTTTTGGTCTGTTACTTCTTAACATCGCCAATCAAATCATGATTTTTGGACTTAAACTTAAGGTAGTTCAACGTTGTCAAAAAACAGAAAGAGAGAACTCTCTTTTGACTCATGAAGGGAATTCAGATAAAATTTCACAACCAGAAATTTCATATATTGGTATTCCTAATCATGGATACACACATAGATAGATACATAGATATAGATGTAGATACCTCATATGATAAGATATTAAAATATTTATGTATGTATAATAAAGTTAAAAGATTTTTGAAGCCTGTGTTCTCCTGATGAGCACTATTTACAAAGTCATTTTTCCAGATGCAATGAATAGTTATCTACACTATTAGAATTCCAGAAGATTAGAAAGACTAATTTATGAAATTTCTGGCCTTGGAAATTTTAGCTGAAATTCCTTTGTTAATCAAAAGAGAGCTCTCTGACAAGATTTGGCATGCATTTATGATAAAAACTCTCAATAACATGGGTATAGAAGGAAAGTACTTCAAAATAATAAGTGCCATATATGACATATCCACAGCCATCATCATACTCAATGGT